TTTTATAAATTATATTATCATTATAAATTATAAAAATAAATAATTTAAATTATAATTTTAAATAGAAATAAGTAGATTGTTAATTATGAAAGTAAGTATATATGAATAAAGATTAATTAAATATATTATTATTATTATTCTTAATATGATTATTATATATTATTATATTTTTATAGTAATCTAACGGTTGGATTTACAAAAGTCATATTTAATATAAAGTTATTGAGCAGTATATAATACTTAGTAAAAGTTACACCGGTGTTAATATAACCCTCCTCCTCTCTTTCTCTCTTAGAGAGAGATAGAGAGAAAAAGAGAGTGGAGGAATCAAATAATTTATAAAATAACTCTTGGTAAAGTTATTCCGCTCAATAACTCATGGTATGTGTTGAATTTCATCGATCCAATTGTTAAATTAAAAGTTATTAAATTTTACTAATAATTAATATAAAAAAATTAATTAGCTTGGGAATAAATTATTTGATAATTAACAATATAATTGAAATATTAATTATTTTAAATTATTATTAATGTAACTTTCATGTTTTATGAAAAACTTGCTAATACTTTTTATGCTATTTGTTCTTACCGGAGATCGGTCGTAGGGGACGATCTGCTGAGTAAGATTGGCGAGCCTCTTTTACTGGTACGTTTGTTGCTCCAAGGTGGGGGTGATACCTGCAAAAGAGACTCCGATGCTCAAGTTAGTGTTTGTGGGTGTATAAGTCTCGTATAAGTAATGCACGTACCTTTGTGTGGATTAGGGTTTCGATGGGCCTTGGGTCTGAGATCAGTTATGACCTATTTAGATAGTGGACCTCGTCTTGGTCGAGGTCGGCCAGCGCGTGTCTGAGGTGCGTATCCGAGGTCATCCTGCGCTGCGATACTGAGCTTGGAGCTCGGCTTCGCGATACGGATAGTACACTAGCCCTTAATTTTAAATAGAAATAAGTATATTGTTAATTATAAAAGTAAGTATATAAATAAAGATTAATTAAATATATTATTATTATTATTTATTTTTATTTTTATTCATAATATAAATTATTATATATTATTATTATAGTACAAGTATTAG